ATAGAGAGAGGGGGGATGGGGGCAGGCAGGACCCTTTTAAAAGGATAATAGTGAATATGCACAGGTGGTGCTCTTAGTGACTGCAGCTGAGGGTGTATCCTGGCAGAAACCCAGACCAGTCAGATACCTTAATACTAACAACAGGTGGTAAGACAAATTAGAATTTTATCTTTAGGAGTATACAATCCCAAAGTTGAGCTAATTACAAAAGTTGTTTCTTGATGTTCATTTCTCGATCATAAAGATATGCTTAGGTCTATTTTATGCAGATGTATTTATTTGTGAATATCGTATAAGTACAAGAGGCTGATTCACTCTAGATTGCAACTCCAACAGGGAGAAGAGGAAACTCACAACTTAGATATCCACATGGCAGATCAGAATCAAAGTAGGCCATAAAAACCAGAGAGACACAGAGTAATTGTCTTCTGTAGAGCGATTTTGCCCACGTGGAGGGTATGGTAGGCCAGAATCCAGAGAAAAACTTACATGGAATAGCTGAGAGACACGTGGTTAGAAAGCAGGTAAAGGAAAGTGACAGCTGAAGAATCAGAGTCTAGAATTAGGAATCAAGTCTGAAGGATGGCAGGAGCCAGCAAATCGGCGATGGAGCAGGGAACTCATTCATGCCACTCCCATGATTTTAGCACCAGATGAATGAAAGAAAGAAAAAGACATGACTACTCCTCAATACAGTGGAGGAGAAAGTTTACTATAGATAAAAAGGAGAAAAGGGAAAGGGGCAGAGACAGATACCTGGCAGGGTCCCTAGTGAATAGGAGACTGATCTCAGCCTTGTGAGGACAGAGGAGTGGGGGAGGGGAGCCTGGAGACTAAGAGGCCTAAGGAAAAGGGATAAAAAAAAGATTGTTGCAGCGGATAGGGCTGGATTCCATAAGAAAAAGCTACTAGGAGAAGAGCAACCCAGCTTCTGGGCTGGAAAGTTCAGGGCAGAGAGTGGTGGATGCCAGCCATACTCTGTTGTAACAGGTAGGGAATGAAGGATGCTGGGAGAATCTGAGGCCAGGTCCACTTTGATTTGTTGAATTGTCACCTCAGTTAGTCATTTGTCCTGTGTTTGAGACCTAATGCTTATGAAGACAAATATGACTTAAAATGAAGAGTATTAGGTATAGTTTATTTTTAAATACGTAAAGTTTTTATTGAGAACTTCTTTTTTTATTTTATTTTTTATGTAAGTTAGAAACAAGCTTGTTTCACATGTCAATCCCAGCTCCCTCTCCCTCCTCTCCTCCTGCCCTTTCCACCAGGTTCCCCAGTCCCTCACCTAATCTCCAGTCCCATCCCCAAGGAGGGTGAGGCACTCCATGGTGGATCTCCAGTGACTGTCATTTCATCCAGGGCAGGGCCTAGGCCCTCCCCCAAGAGTCCCAGCTGAGAGAGCCTCCCATATTGTGGCATGGGCACTCAAAGTCTGTTTGCATGCCAGGGATAAATACTACCCAAGACACCATAGATTACCTAGGCCTCCTCATTGACACCCACATTCAGGGGGTCTGGGTCAGTCCCATGCTTTCCACACAGCCATCAATCTGGGGTCCAAGAGCTCCCCTTTGTTCAGGTCAACTGTTTCTGTGGGTTAAACCAGCCCAGTCTTAACTACATAGCCCATAAGTTCTCCCTTTCTGACACTGGATTCCAGGAGTTCAGTGTTTGTCTGTGGGTGTCTGTCTCTGCTTTCATAAGTAGCTGGATGAAGGTTCTGTTTCTCAGACTATCTGGCAGTGGGATTGTATACTGGCACTCCCCTGATCCATGTGTAAAATCCATACATGAGTGAGCACATACCATAATTCTCTTTTTGTGACTGGGTTACCTTACTCAGGATGGTTTCTTCTAGTGCCATCCATTTGCCTGCAAATTTCAAGATTCCATTGCTTTTTTTTTTCTGCTGAATAGTACTCCATTGTGTTAATGTACCACATTTTCTCTACTCCACTCTTCAGTTGAGGGGCATCTAGGTTGCTTCCAGGTTCTGGTTATTACAAATAATGCTGCTATGAACATAGTAGAACAGATGTCCTTTTGGGTATATATCTAAGAGTGGAATTTCTGGGTCTTCTGGTAGACTGATTCCCATTTTCCTGAGGAATCTCCATACTGATTTCCATAGTTGCTGTACAAGTTGGCACTTCCCCCAGCAGTGGAGGAGTGCTCCCCTTTCTCCACATCCACTCCAGCATAAACTGTCATTGGAGTTTTTGATTTTAGCCTAGTGAGATGGTATCTCAGAGTTGTTTTGATTTGCATTTCCCAGATGTATGCAATGAAACATGATCACATTCAGTTTCCACTTCTCCTTTCCAGCCCTCCTTCCCAGTATCCCTCCAATTCCTTCCCCTCCTAACTTCACTTTTCTTTACTATTTATAAATCACTAGGTTTAACTTTGTTGCCTTAGTGTGCAAATGTGTGTCAGGGTAAACCTACCATGGCCATACCTTTAGAGGAGAATGATTATGTCTTTGGCAACAATTACCCACTGCCAACATCTCCTCAATAAGGGATGGGTCCTGAAGAGTAGCTGGCCCATTGATGTGGAAGTTTTGACTGTTTTGACCTGGTGTAGTTCTCACGCAGGTTTTGTGCAAGAATTTGTAAGGATAATAATTATATTATGTTCAGAAGACAGCACATCACAACACTTCTTATCATCACTCAGCACTTACATTGGTTCCACCTCCTCTTTTGCAATGTTCTTTTATCCTTATCCAGGAGGTAGGGAATTCATAAATATAACCCATTTAGGTTGGGCACTCGGTCTTTTCTCAGTAATTAGACCAGTTATGCTTTTCTGCATTGGCTCATGTCCACTCCATAAAAAGGAAGTGTCTCTGAATATGGTTGAGAGCACCCAGGGTCTATGGCATAAACATAAATGTTAGAACAATGGTTCTCAACCTGTGGGTTATGACCCCTTTGGGAGCTGCATATCACATATCCTCCATACCAGATATTTACTTTACTATTCATAAGAGTGGCAACAATAAAGCTATGAAGTAGCAATATAACAATTTTATGGTTGTTGTCACCACCACATATGGAGCTGTATTAAAGGGTCACAACACTCAGAAGGTTGAGAGCCACTGCTTCAAGAAGATAATTTTGACAGCATTGCAAAATAAATAGCAGGTTATACTCTAGGACCATCATTATGATGTTTCTCTTCCAAACACTATGTCAAATAATTAAGTCTATTTTTATTAGGAAAATTCTTCTTTTATCTCCCTGTTTCAAACTATTCATCGTTTGTTGGTTATTGCTATTGACTTGGACCAAGGCAGACCATTGTTGCTGGGATCTACTTACCTCATTCTTGCAGAAGGAACATTCCTTTTAGACATGTTTCCACTAATCTAACATCCCTTGCTAAAGTCTTTCCTCCTCTATGTTCTACTCTCCCACAGTGTAATAGACTGGTAGACGCTGATTTACATTTAATGAAATTTAAATCAAAAGAATAAGTGAACATATGATGATTTATGTATATGCACGATATATGACATATAGGAATATGTGCATGCAAACCAATGCAGTAATTTTGCTAAAAAGGAGAAGAAATGCAAATCATATTAAGAATTCTGATAAAAATTATATTCTAGTAATATCTTCAGAATTAATGTCAGGTAAATGAGAAAAAAGCTATTTGAATTACAATGGGTTATAATGAAATTCACAATTACAAAAGATGGCTCCAAATGGTGGCTATTTCAGCATAAAATGCTACATGGCCTCTAGAGAAAGGTTGAAAAATAATCAGTTCATAGGCAAGAAATGTTTCAAAGGTGTACCTGTAATGTAAAAATTAAAATAAAAATGTGTTTCAGTACAAAAGTAATAAGGTTGAACTATAATAACATTTTATACATAGATATTATGGATTTTGTGGCTAATGTACAGAAATATTTAATTTAAGACAGTAATATGTTTTGTACTAATGTATATATGTTTATTATATATAATATAATAGTTGTCTTATAATGCAGTGTTATATAATAGAACTTTCTGACTATTGATGTTTAATTTAATTTTACTTCATATTTCCTATGTGACTACAGTGGATAGCATATATATATATAAAATGTTTCTGTCAGTGACATATGTATGCTTATAATACAGTATCAAGAGTAAACTGTGTAATCAAGAGACTATTAGGTAACTGTACTGAATCAAATTGAATGAAATGGCTTATGAAGGGCATTTAATGACATTGTGTTATTCCCTCTCCTACCACCAAGAGGCACCAGTTGGATAACACATGAGAAATAAAACCCACTCTATGGAATAAACATGCCGGGTTAAAAGGTTCTGACATTGACAACAGAAGAAAAAAGATAAGTACAGCTTATTTGGCCATTCATTGCATGTTTAAGTGAATAGTGTCAGTGAGTCAGAAATAAAGGCCTTCAGTAGATTGTGTGTGTTCTCAGACAAGTAATCCTCCTACAGTATTTCTGCTTTGAATGCTTGTCATGAACATGACAGACAGGAAAGCCATGGCAACTTGAAATCCACGAAAGACAAAACAACAAAGAGCAAAACTAACTCACTTTTCTATTGTTACAAATATTATATTTTCATTTCCTGATTTTTCTGAACTAAAGCCTTTAAAATGCTTTTATATATTTATATTTTAATTAATTTTCCCTCCCCAGACCTAAAAGAAAAAGGGAAGAAATATATAGCATTCTTATATAATACTCTGTTTTCAAAAAATAATTTATTCAGAAAGAGAAATCTACTGAACAAATACCACATTTGATATAATTTCTTTCCATAATTACAGTATATTATTATACATACAAAGTGTTATGTATATAATGAAATATGTAAATACTTTAGTTGTAAATTGGTATTGAATTAGTTATTTCTTAACATAATTAAACAAATGTTTGACTGTTTTTTGATTTTGTTTTGTTTTGTTTTGTTTTTGACAGGATTTCTCTGTATGTTTGGAGGCTGTCCTGGAACGAACTCTTGTAGACCAGGCTGGTCTTGAACTCACAGTGATCTGCTTGCCTCTGCGTCCTGAGTGCTGGGATTAAAGGTACCCACCACCACCACCTGGCTTGTTTGACTGGCTTTAATGTTGGCCTTGTAAAACTAAGCTGAAGAAGGAAACAAATAACAGGTAGAGCATTTCACAGCCATGTTTCTCCTGCTTCTTTAGCCCTAACCCTGACAACACTGTAGCTGCATCCTCATCCACCCAGACCTGCTGTAGATGGAGTGGATTTCTGAGAAGAGAAGCTCAAACCTGTTTCTTTTTGTAGGTTGTATGCTGTGATCTACATCATATACGCACTCTGGAGACTACTACTGTAGTATGGGTTTTTATTATTGAAGCACATTCATTTTTCCTACTGTTTATAAATGCACAGTGCATCTCTGTTTTGAAGATGGTTGCCTCATAGTTTTGCCAGTTATCATGAGAAATAAAATATGATTTTCAGACCGAAGTGCTTCAGTCTGTGGTACTACATCATCAGAAATGGTAATTTTAGAGGAACTGAGATTTCCTTTCTATTTCACAGGGAACTGTTAAAAGGGTGATTAAAAACAATGACGTATAGGAATTCTTTTAATTATTTTTAAAGCAATCTTATTTTACATACCAATCACCATTCCTTCTCCCTCCTCTTCTCCCACTCCCCACATCATCTCCCCACCCCCTCCTCCCATCTACTCCTCAGAGAGAGAGTGAGGCCTCCCATAGGGAATCATCAAAATCTGTCACATCATTTTGGGCAAGACCAAGTCCATTTCCCTGTATCTGGGCTGAGCAAGCAATCCCTCCATAGGGAATGGTCTCCAAAAAGCCACTTAATGCTCTAGGGATAGTTACTGGTTCCACTGCCAGCAACCCTATAGACTGCCCAGACTCACCAACTGTCACTTACTGTCAGGGGAACAGTTTGGTGATACGAAGTTTCCGAAGCTGTCAGTCTGGAGTCAGTGAGCTATTGCTTACTGGGGTCAGCTGTTTCTGTGGGTTTCCCTATCATGGACTTGACCCCTTGGCTGAGCACTCCTTCCTCTCTACAACTGGACTCCAAGAGTTCGGCCCAGTGCTTAGACAAAAGCAAAGGATAACCAGCCTATAGTCCAAACCTCCAGAGAATCTAGGAAACAAGGAAGACCCTAAGAGAGACTCTCCCACAAGGGGAAATAGACAAGCTCTCCTGAGTAAATTGGGTGCTTGTGGGGGAGGAGGGAGGGTTGTAGGAGAGTGGGGAGAGGAGAAGGGAATTGTGGAGAACACGAGTGATCCAGAAGGTCGAGTTTAGTGAAGGACAGAGAGGGAAAACATGTAAAGTGATACCTTGATAAAAGGAGCCATTATGAGGTTAATGAGAAACCTAGCACTAGGGAAATTCCAAGGAATCTACAAGGAGGACCCCAAAGAAGAATGTAAGCAATAGTGGAGAGGGTAACTTAACTGCTCTTTCCCAATCATCAGATTGATGACTATCTTAATTGCCATCATAGAGCCTTCATCTAGTAACTGAAGTATAGAAATTCTTAGTTTCCTAGGGACTGATTCTACCAAGCTTCTGCTTTACATTATTTAGAGTGTAATTGCATCCACTTCATAAGGCTTCCAGCAGAACAACTACCTACTTATTGACACATTATGAGCTGGCAGCTGATGCCAGCTCCTCACTTCATACTCTCATAATCATTTTCACCAACCTCGTGTTTACCAAATCTTTTATGGTGACTTAATTTCATAAATAGAATACTCCGGGCCATCCCATTCCACTTCCTTGTATAAATCTGTCAGTAGAATATGTAGAGAAAAAGTAAGTACCTTTACGAAAAAATCATTTTGTTTTTTAAAAACAAGATAGCATAGATTTCACAGTAGATATTTTATGAATCACTGATGGGCCAAATATACTTGATATTTCCTTCAGTTAGCTTTGTGTAAGTATTTTTAGCCCTCACACAGATTTCCTATTCTCATGTCAGAATATATCCTGATCTTCAAAATAGCTTTTTGAGAAAGTTTGACAAGCTTTATCTAATTATTGTTCTCTGCAAACTGGTACCAGGCAAGAAAAATGAAAATTTCTTCAGAAAATTTAAAGAATAAATGAGAGGATGTACATTGGCAAAAAATACAATGCTCATTGTAAAATCAAGAACAGCAATCTAGCCACAAAGTGAAGTACATAGAGTCAAGAGTCAGTTATATAAACAAACAAGAAAATTTCCAACATGAGGAATTATATTAAAGTGTCACAGAATTAGGAGGGTGAGAAACACTATTAAAGGAATTGATTTCATGTATTGATGAAATAAAATTCCATCAACCATATTCAATTGTCCCCTAGTAAGATCTAGAATCCTGAAATAGAAATTTTAGTTCACCAATTTTCTTATTTTTACTGTGAAAAATTTTATATTATATTATAAGATACATTTAATTCTAAATTATCCTATAAAATACATTTGATACTTCATCAATAAATGATACAATAAATGATAAACTCAAATAAGTAAAGAGATTCATTGTCCAAAGACAACAGATTTGTAAGCAGTTGTTGTTTTTCAGACCATATGAGCAAACTCATAATTATAAAAATTTATAAACAAAGCAATATCCTACTAGATTTCATTTTAAAAATTTTTTAACATAACAGCAATATTGTAAAATCTATTCCCAGTGACACACATTCTCAAAAGCCACAACTCCTGTAACAAGTCCTCAACTCCTAAACCTTCCCAAACTCTTTCACTAACTGTGACTATACATTCAATTGTTTGAGCCTATGGAGTCCATTCTTACTCAAATCACCATATTCCACTATGTGACTACCATAGGTATATAGGCATATATTAATGTAAAATGGATTCAGTTCAACTTCAATACAAACGACAGAAAGCCTAAAAACTCAGGGAAACTGGCCTACTCTCAACTGAATTAGGAATGGGCCAGGGGAAAATTAAAGAAAGATATTAAAGACTTCCTTTAATTCAATGATAATGAATACACAACATACCCAAATTATAAGACACAATGAAAGCAATGCTAAGAAAAAAGTTCATAGCATAAAGTGCCTGAATAAAGAATCTGGAGAAATTTCATACATGTAACCTAACAGCATACCTGAAAGCTCTAGAACAAAAAGAAGCAAACATTCTAATTGAATTCAAATGAAATAATCAAACTAAGGCTGAAATCAATTAACTAGAAACAAAGAAGACAAAACATAGAAACAATAAAATAGAGTTGGTTCTTTGAGAAATTCAACAAGATAGAAAAACTCTTCTCCAAACTAACTAAAGGCAGAGAGAGAATAGCCAAATTAACAAAATCAGAAAGGAAAAGGAAAACAGGGACATAACAACCAATGCCAAGGAAATCCAAAGAATCATTAGGTCATACTTCAAAAACCTGTACTCTACAAAACTGGAAAATCTAAAAGAAATGAACAAATTTCTTGATAGATACCATATATTAAAATTAAGTAATTCAAGACTATATAAACAACTTAATAGACCCATAACCCCTGAAGAAATAGAAGCAGTCATTAAAGGTCTCCAAACCAAAAGATGAAAATTAAAATAATAATAATAATAGAAGAAGAAGGAGAAGAAGGAGAAGAAGAAGCAAGCAGCTCACTCAAGCTCTACCACGCCTTCAATGAAGAGCTAATGCCAACACTTTTCAAACTATTTCACAAACCCGAAACAGGAGTAACATTTTTAAATTATTTTATGAGGCCTGAGGCCACAGTCACCCTGGTACCCAGGGCACTCAAAGACTCAACAAAGAAGAGAATTACAGACCAATTTCTTTCATGAATGTTGATACAAAATACTCTATAAAATACTCACAGCCTGAACCCAAGAAAGCATCAAAAATATCATTACTCGCAGTTGGTGTCATAGTATACCTAAGTAACTTCAAAAATTCTGTCACAGAACTCTTATAGATCATTTGTGCATTCTTTATATATTGCATGATAACAGGTATGAAAATATGGAAACTTGAAACAGCAGGTATCTATTGTCATACAATTTATGTTTATTTGGCATTTGATTTTGGCTTATCTTAAAGTTGTTGGTTTCCTTTTCAGGTGAGTTAGGCTTTGGTTAGTAGAATCTCTGCCTCTTCCTAGTTTGTTCAAGGTTAATTCTCAGTTGTTGTGGCCATTCTAAAGCTGGCTTATAACACTGAGTCCATATTTCTCAGGGCTAGCCCAAAAGAATCTTGAATGAAGACAGATATTGCAATCTTGTTTAACATCACTGAAATGGCATACATCATTGTTATGCACTACATATCTGTGTTCCTCCAAATGGAAAAAAAAGAACAAGAGGTCAAAGCATCCCTCTCTCTTTTTTCCTTAAGAGTTGGTCACGAACACAATTATTCACATATTTTCCCATAATAGTACTTGTTACACAGTAAGTTTGTAACGTCTGGTTGTATTTCATTTTGTGACTTGCTGTGGCCACTGAAATGTTAAGGAGAGCTATTGTGTCATTTCTAAACTGAAGCGTTAAATGTCAGCGAGTAGCTTGTTTGGATTTTCTTCTTGTCCTAATTAATGGTCTTGGAAGAACAGTATAAAGTAGGGCTTATATTAACCTGGATCCTTCAGATGCTATACTGGAAAGACACAGAGCTCCAGCGCACTTTCCACTGGACATGTAAAATCAAAGAAAAATATTTTTATTGGCTAAAAATAAGTTTCAATCAGATCATTCCCATGCAGAATTCTGTTCATTCTTTACATGTTTTAATTTCTATGGATCATACAGTTTTAGATTTTAGGTGCCTTAAGAATCTGAAGGAAGCACATTCTGTTCTTATTATCTTGGCTTAAGTATTTAACCTATATAACATGTCATTAATATTTATTAGATGAACGTTGAAGTGATTCTATATATGCTATTACTATTATTTTACTAGTTCTTATAATACTTGTCTCCTTTCCTGTCATATACTAGACAACACATTATTTACATTGAATTACAGTGAATACTTAGGTTCCTGATTTTAACAATCTTTCTGTTAATTCACTTTAAACAATAGATGCACCATTCCTGGATTTGTATTATATTTTTTGTCATTTACTAACACAAATATTTGAGTGGATCATATTTAGAGTTATCAGCTTCTGAATTATTAAAATTTTCCAATTTTTCTCTGTCTTAAATTTTCTCCACACTGTTACTCTACTGTAGCATAGCTGATCAATTTGATCATGATCAGTACTCACTAATTCTTTTACTAGGTTGACTGCTTATGATAATCCTCATCAGAAATCTCCCATCATTACCATCAATTTTAGCTTGGTGAAACTTGTGAACATCTCAAACTCAAATCATAATTTACTGCCCAGACGTCCATACATTAAAGATAAGCTCATTCACCAATAATGCAGCAGTATTTCTAAGAGAAAGAAATAAAAAAGCATTTTTCTTGGTATCCTTTAACC